GGTTTTGAGACACAGACCTGAAGCTAAGAGGTGAACAGACTCTCTGTTCATGCTGTGGGTTTGCGTGCGTCGGAGAGGCCAGGGAGGCCTGGGCTGAGCCCGCACTGGGAACCGGCCTCGTGGAGGGCAGGGGAGAGCCATGTCTTTGCATCTGCTGAAACCAGTATGACTTGGGCACTGTAAGGGCAAATATGTGGATGATGCCTACCTTACCAGACGTACCTTTACCACATGCCCATGTATCTGGGTTTTTTTTTTTGGGGTTTTTTTTTTTTTCCGGTACTGGGAACCGAACTCACTACCTTGCACTTGCCAGGCAGGCGCTTTGCCGCTGAGCTAAATCCCCAGCCCCATGCCCATGTATCTGGATGCCATGGCAAGGGATAAAGAAGGGGACATAAAGGCCGGAGATAGGGTTCTGAGAGCTAGTATATCTTAGGCATTGTTAGTTTCACCACAGTTATCTCACTGTAAAATTATCCTTTTTTTTTTTTTTGACGCAGGGTCTTGCTAGGTAGTCCAGGCTGGCCTTGAACTCACCATGTAGCACAAGCTGGCCTTGAACGTGCAGTGATCCTCCTGCCTCAGCCTCCCAAGTGCTGGGATTACAGGCATGCGCCACCATGACTAGCTAATTATCCTTGTTCTGCCAATGAAGAAACTGAGGCTGAGAGGGACCAAGGGGTGGACAAGATCCCATAGCTCAGAAGAGGCAGTGTGCTTGGCACCCTGTCCGTCTGTCTGAAAGCAGGTTCTTACTCCACTGCACCACAGTGTCTGCCAGGTCCCAAACCCAGTCTCTAGGAGGCTGCCCTGGGCACCAGAGCTCCTCAGGGAGCCCCTCCATTGGATGGGTGTGGAAAAGGCCTGAGGTAGGGGACCATGCCTGTCACTGCCCTCACAGTTCCCTAAGCCCTCCTTGTCTGAGGGTGCCAAGACTGACACCAGAAACCCCATTTGGCCTTCCTGTCTCCCCTGCAGGAGGATCACAGGCATACATCCTGTCTCATCACCCCCACCCTGTCCTGGCCCACATGCCCCTGCTTCCTGGAGGGCCATGGCAGTCTGGATGTCAATGTGGGCAGAGCGCCATGGCCCCTAGTTGCGGCTGGTGCCAAGAGTTTGGGCCAGGCAGACAAGGCTAGCGGGGTGGAAGGATGTGTCCGCCTCTGGCCGTACCTGGGAGAGCAAGCAGAGTGCGAAGGCAGGCAGGCAGGCACTGGGTGAGGTCCCGCCCCGTGGTGCACAGGCTGTGCCAGCAGCCTGCCCGCACTGCACTCCTCCCACAATGGTCCCATTGTTCCCAGCAGCCAGGCAGTTTGAAGGAGGTTCCTGGGCCACCCCTACCCCGCTAAACAGGGGCCAGATTAACCCCTTGGAGGACCAAGGCCAGGTGATGGCCCACAGGGCACTGCCCTCCTCATCTCTCCTTGCCTGTTCTGGGAAGCCAGGCTCGGAAAGTCATCTCCTACCCCCGTGTATGCAGCAACAGGAAGAAAGGGGTCTCCCACAGAATACAAGTGGCACCTCGACCCTCTCCCACCCCTACTCTGGTGCAGGTGCCAGAGGCAGGAAGTGCCAGTGGAGTGGCAGGCGGAGACCAGATATATTTGGGCTGGTGGGGCTAATTCCAGCCACCACCGCCTGCCCTACTGGCTCCTGAGCTCCTTTCCTTCCTGTGAAACCAGAGCTGGGTTGGGCCTAGCTCGGGATTTCGGTGGATTTAAAGAGGCAGCGCCATCCCTGCCAGCCAGGCCTCCTTCTCCCCCTCCCCAGGTAGTATCTGGGCCTCGGAGAGGGCTGGAGAGTCTCAAGCTCCTCCCTCCCTTGCCCCGGGCTAACCCCTGGCCCTGGCTTCTGTTGGGGTACCAGGCTTCTGGCACTCCTTTCTCCCAGAGCCTTGGGTGGGTGGGGTGGGCGGGGGTGGGCTGTGGTTTCCTGTGTTGGCTGTTTGTGCCTGGCCCAGAGTGCCCGCCGCCTGCCTGGGCTTCCTGCCCTGTCTTGTTTCCTTGTGCCCCCCACCTCCTCCTCAGCCCTCCCCAACGGGGGAGGGAGCAGCCAGGGATTGGGCAGCAATCTTTGGGGGCACCCCACTGCCAGAGCATGATTATTTCCCAAGGGCTTATCATGCTGGTAATGGCTGAAGGAACCAAGAGAAGTGAGGTGACCCCAGGTCTGTCCAGGCCATGCCACAACTGCCCACAGGCTCCAGCAGGGACAGTGGGCCAGAAATGACAGGCTCCCCCACCTCCACCCCACCTTGGCCCTTCAGAGATCCTATACTGTGAGGGTCTAGGACCCAGAATTTCTGTGTCCTGTAGGCTTGGCTTTGCCTGACCTTACCCTGAGGCGACAGGTGGGGTGGGGCTGGAAACTCCCAGGCAAAACCTCCCAAGCAAAAATGGTTGATTTGCATGGTCTCCTTTGGCAGGGGTGGGGGGAAGTGAGGAGAGCTGCTAGCTGCTAGGAACCCAGGCAGGGGAAGTCCCCGTATTGAGGGTCCCAAACAACACCTTTGTCCCTGAGCACATTTCCTGCTGGGCGATGAATCCTTGACCTCACTGGCTTCCAGTCAGCACCTCAGGAAGAGGAAGTGACTTGGTAGAGAAGAGCATCTAAGGATCAGGGTCCTGACACCCCGGAGAAAGGGGACTTGGGACCTTGTTTTCTCAGGGACTGTACCTCTCTGAGCCAGAGGCCAAGGATGTCATATCTGTTGTCTCCAGTAGGACCCTGTCCCTTACTGGGGACACAAGGATTTCTGGCTGCACTTTTTCCTCTCCTAGAGGTGCCAGGGGCCTGCTCACTCCACGTGGGCACATGGACCCTCCAAAGCACTTTTGCAATATTGGGGGTTAAACCCAGGTTTTTGCACTGAGCTACATCCCTAGCGCCGGCCCCGCCCCCCTTTTGAGATAGGATCTCCTTAAGTTGCCCAGGCTGGGTTTGAATTTTTGATTCTCCTGCTTTGGCCTTCCAGAGTGCTGGGATTATGGGCATGTACCACCACTCTTGACTTCCAAAGCATTTTTTCTTACAGCCTCTTTGGTTTATTTTTTATTTGTTTCTGTGGTGGGAAAGGGCCTCACTCAAGTGCAAGTACTCTGCCAATGATCTCTATCCCCAACCCTGGGGTGGTTTTGAGCAGTGCAATTAGACACATGGGCCAGTTGGTCAACCAAGCAGGGGCTCCCAACGTGGAAACAGGCGTGGGAATGTCTGCCCTACCTGTGGCAGCCGGTGTAGGGGGGGCAGACCTGGTGCATCATACTGGAGGTTATGGGTGCTGGAGCCTTCCTGTCTCTCTTCCAGCCTACGTCAAGCCCACCTGAACCTGTAGGCTGTTTCGGGCTTGGCTTCCCGCCTCTGTGTTACACAGCAGGGGGAAAATGATCTCAGGCTTTTTGCCTCAGCCACCTTGCCTCGGGGCACATTCTCTTGGGTATGGTCCTGGCCCTTCACTCAGGTGACTCGCACCTGCTCCCTGTTTGTGAGCACACATCAGCTCTCCCCACCCCGCCTCCTAAGAGCACCGTGTTTCCAGAGTCCCAGGCCCGTCCTTCCTCACAGGAGCTCCTGGCCTGGTGCGTGGAAGGCCTCTTTATCGCTGTTTAAAAACTACCCTGGCACACAGCAGCCCTCCTTCCTCCTGTGGCCAGACCGTGCAGGTGTCTCCCGGGACTGAGTGTAGAGGAGGAGGGGTCTTTGGGAGCTGGGGACTCCTGAGGGGCAGAGGGGGGAGGTGTGAGATGGGAAAGTCCTGACTCATCCATGCTTGACTCAGCTTGCCCTAGGCCCTGCGGCAGGGTGGGAGCAGGGGGTGGAGTTCTAGCTCGGAGAGGACTCTTAGGATTCTTCTGAGAAGCTTTGGCCTCACTGGGGGCACTAAGAGGACTAATTTTCTAACACCCTCTCTCCAAATTATTATAGGTCCTTTTTTCTTTTTTTTCCCCCCTGTACCAGGGTTTGAACCCAGGGCATTCATACTGAGCTACATCCTTAGCACCTTGCTTTTTTTATTTGTGGATTTGCAGGTACTCCTGCCTCAGCCTCCCAAGTGCTGGGGTTACAGGATATGAACCACCAGGCCTGGCTAGGTCCTCAACCTTTGAGGTTGTAAATAGAAGACAGGGCCTTTGCCCCGGCCTGCACCCTTCTCTTTGAATCAGCTGGAACACAGAAGCCCACCTATCTGGTGCAGGCTCCCAGGTGACACTGCAGTGCCTGAAGTGGGTGGCATTCCCACATCTGTCAGGTGACCTAAGGGTAGATCACGTCCTTTCTTCAGACCTCAGTTTCCTCATAGTGAAATAGGGGTAGTTTTGAGAATCAGCCAGGGTGTGAAGGTGACAGCCACAGGCCCACTTCTAAGCCTGGGTGTCCCTGCCTCCTTCCTTGCTATTTCCTGATTGTGATGCAGGAGGTGGGGGCGGCAAGCCAAGCCGGACTTTGGAACCTTCCTTGAGCAGCCTTCCTCCCCCAAGACTGAGCGGCAGTAGGAAAGGCCTCTGTGCTCGCGGGTTAGGTTAGGTTAGACTCCCACAGGGTGCCAGGTGGGGCTCCCTCACCCCGAGGTCCCAGTGTAGCCTCCGGGTGTGTCTGGCCCGGCTTGTCACCAGACGCGGCTCCTGGGCCCAGTACTCCTCCCTTCCCTCCACCTCTACCAGGATCGCTGCTGGGGGGTGGTGAGCATAGGGTGGTTGGGCGAGGCGTCTGTGTTTGTGTAAGTTTGTCGGCGCACCTACGGCCCTGTGTGGTTTCTTTGTGACTATCAGGCTCATCAACTTTCTATGGCTCCCTCGTGACCAGGCCTCAGTCTTCTCTCGTGCTCCAAGCGCCGGCCAACTCTCCCTCGGCCGGCAGGGGCCCCAGGGACTGCGCGCCCCTGGGTGGGCACCTCACCCTTCCGCGGGCTGCCTCTAGCTTCCTGGGCGCGCTGCGTGTCTTTTGTCTCCCTGTCCACGTGTGAGCTATGAGTGTGTGTGTCAGGGTGCGGGTACTTGTGGGTCTGTGCGCCCCGGCCCCGCGACACCCGGGGGCCGTCGAGCCTCTGCCCGGCGTGCCTGCCCTGCGCGCGGGCCCGGAAGCCACGCTGCACCCTGCCGGCCTCGCTCCTCGCTCGCTGCCTCGCGGGCTCTGTCGCTGCTCGCTCGCTCGCTCGCTCGCTCGCGCTGCCTCTCGCTCGGGCTCGGCCGAGGGGGGCGGGGTGGGGTGCAGGGCGGGGGGAGGGGAGGCTCCTGCATTCTTGCGGTCGGTGAGGAATCTGAGCCAGCGTTACTGGTCTCCAGAAGAGCCCAGCTGCAGCCCCGGGGCCCCGCCAGGCCTCTCGCTGCCCGCCCGGGCCTGCTGGGATGGGCACGGGCTAGGCCTCGAGCTGGGGGCGGGGCGGGCCAGGGCCCCCACCCCTGCCGCCTCGCGGCTGGAGCGCCCTGGGGCAGGGCGCTGAGCGGGGCGGGGCGAGAGGGATTCCCGAGCCCTGGGTGAGGGGCGTGTCGGGAGCCCAAGTCGCCCCAGGGCCCGAGAGGACCTCGCGGCCGCCCCACGCGGCACCTTGGCGGCCCAGCCTATTAGTGACCTCTGCGTCTGCAGCCCCTGGGGGGCGGGGAGGGGCTTGCTGCAGACTGCAAGCTCCCCGAGGGCAAGGTGCGGGAGGCATGGGGATTAGACTGGCCACGGGGATCGAGACCCCATCTCCTAGTCTTCCCTTTCCAGTCCCACCCTACCCTATCCAGTTCCCTAGTCTCAGGGCTGTTGGGTCTTCCCTTCTCCCTCCCCCTCCCCAAGTCACAAGTTTTCTCTTTGGGGCTTGTTGCTGCAGTCCGTGCTCCAGTACCGAGTACCTGGCTGGGCCCGGGGCACGCAGAGGGGCCGTAGCCCCACTGTGTGTGGGAGCCATGAGGATCCTGGCTAACAAGACAAGGTGTGTGGGTGTCGTGGAGGGCGGGACGTGTGTGTGGAGAGCGGGCAGGGGAAGGGCCCAGCGGTGGACGGGGCCAAGCGGTGCTGGCTTGGAGACTGAGCCCCTCCCCAGGCACCTGGCTCCCAGACCACCTGGCTAAAGGGTACGGTGGGATGCCTGGCGCAGGCGGGAGCCGCAGCCAGCCGTAGTGCTTGGGCCGAGGAGGCAGAGGGAACGGCAGCCAGCGAAGGCGGCTGCCTCTTGTCCATTCTAGCTCTTCTCTCGTAAAACGGCAGAGCAGACCCCCCACCCCACTGTGGGGTCCGATGGCGCCCTCTGGCCTCGGACTAGCTGAGGGTGGGAGCTGGGGTGTATGTGTATGTGTGTGTGTGTGTGTGTGTGTGTGTGTGTGTGGAGGGAGGTGCCTGCCTCCCTCCTCCTCCCCAAGAGAAGCCGGCAGACAGGGCCAGGCGGCAGCAGCAGGACAGCAGAGCTGAAATAAATCTGAGCTGGTGTGGAATGAGGGGGGATAAATATCCTCTCCCGTGATGTGATCTTTCCAGCGGCTATTAATAGGTCTCCGGGGAGGGGGAGGCTGTGGGGGAAGCGGGCTGGAGCTTAAAGGGCCCGCAGCCTAGGCTGCAGGAATCCTTGGCTTCGAGCAGCGCTCCAGTCTGCCTGACATGCCGCTCCCCTCCCCCTCCTGCTCCTGCCTGCCTCCGGCCTGCCGGCCCACCCTCCTCTGGCCTGCCCCTCTGGCTCTGGGGAGCTGTGGGGACCACTGGGTGTCATTCTCGGCTATGCATTTCCTCACGTTCCCTGGGGAATGGGGCTGGGGCATGAGCAGTGACTCACTGTCCAGTGGCCTTTCTCCGATGGTGTGGGGACACGTGGGAATTGAGGTTTGGGACCTTGAGGGGAGTCTGAAGGAAGCAAACCCGAGAAGAGAGGGTGCTTAGTACCGGTCAGGTGCTAGAGGAGAGGGATTGCCCAGGAGTCCTACAGTTTGATGGATATTGGGGGCGAGAGGTGGGAAGGCCTCTGCCGACTCAAGACCCTGGTTTTAGTTTGAATTGGGGTGGGGGCACAGGGGAAGTTGCTCCATCGTTACCCTCCAGAGTGTCAGAGAGCACCCGGTCTTGTCCAGTAGGGAATAGCAAGTGGTCTTGAGATGCCATCCAGCGGCCCCTGCTAGGTGAGACAAGATGGGGTGGTTAAAGTCCAGGCAGGGCCAGCCCCTAGAAGGCTTAACTTCTCACGTCTCTCCTACCTTCTCCCAGGTTACCCCACCCCAGGAGGAGAGAAGCTCCAGGGAGCCCGCCGCTGTCCCCCCGCGGCCACTGCCCCCCTGCCCCAGCCAAGCCAATGCACCCAGAAAATAAATTGACCAATCATGGCAAGACAGGGAATGGCGGGGCCCAATCCCAGCACCAGAATGTGAACCAAGGACCCACCTGCAACCTGGGCTCGAAGGGCGTGGGGGCGGGGAGCCATGGGGCCAAGGCCAACCAGATCTCACCTAGCAACTCAAGTCTGAAGAACCCCCAGGCAGGGGTGCCCCCCTTCAGCTCCCTCAAGGGCAAGGTGAAGCGGGAGCGGAGCGTGTCCGTGGACTCTGGAGAGCAACGGGAGGCTGGGACCCCCTCCCTGGATTCGGAGGCCAAAGGTACCCCATTTTCTTATCCCTGAGACCATAACATCTTCCACAGCCCAAGATGCAAACCAGCCAGGGGACCATCTCTGCCCTCCTTAGCTAATCTCCCATGTTCCTCTCCAGCGTTTATGCACTGGCACCTTTGTCTTAAGCCTCCTGCCACCCATGAAGGGCCACACAGAGAGATGGGGTTTCTGGACTCATTGCCCCTCAACATCCCACCACAGCCCCAGAGCGGGAGAGGGAGGTGCCCTGGGGTGAGGAGAAGACCCACACACCTCCCGGAGCTCCTGGTATCCCGGCTGGTGGGAGCCTTCTGGGAACTGGGGCTGGGGCCTGAAGAGACACAGTGGTCCCCCCTCCCCCCAAGCCCTAATTAGAACCAGTTGTGGTTGGGGATTATGCTGGGTTGGTGTTGGTGGGGGGGAAGGGGAGACAGGCAGCCAGGGATGAAGAGAAAAATCAGAAACAAATGGTGGTGTGGTGGGGGCCAAGGACTGGCAAAGTGCCCACCGTGGTCTGGAGTGAGGCATCTTGGAGAAGGGACCCAGGGTACGGGAGGACAGGGTCTCTGGGCACTCACGTTCTTACCCTTGCCTGCATCCTGCCTGGGCAGAGGTGGCCCCCCGGAGTAAGCGGCGGTGTGTACTGGAGCGGAAGCAGCCGTACAGTGGGGACGAATGGTGCTCCGGACCCGACAGCGAGGAGGACGACAAGCCCATTGGGGCCACCCACAGTGAGTGCCCATTTGATGCCTGGGTGCTGTAGCCCATGGTGCCCCTGGGGGTTGGTGCCCTGAGGATGCCTCCCTCCCTTCACCTAGGGCTTCAGGGGACTGAGACTGAGCAAGAAAGGGCAAGTGCCAGGAGCCCAGGTGCCTTCTCTGCTGTTTCACCTCTCACACTGTCTCTCCCTGTACCAGTGACAGCCCAGTCCTTCTAGGTGCTCAATGCCTGCCCATAGGAACTTAGCTGGGGTGGGTTCTCAGGTGGCCCCTTTCCTGGCCGCCACATCATACCTCTACCATGAATTCCTGGCCTATGCTGCCACCTACTGGTCAGCATAAGGAGGGTGGTGAAGGTCCAGCCTCTCTGAGCTGAAAGGTCGGCTCCCACCGGCAAATCTGTGCTCAGCCTGGGTATGAGCTGACACTTGGCCGTGTCTCTGGTGCTGTTTCTAACCTCTCATCAACTCGAAGCAAGTGGCTGGGGTTCATCACCAGCACGGGGAGTGGGCATGGGTAGATGCTCAGTCTCCTCATTCTTTTAGTGATCATTGTGTATCTGGGCGTTCCGTGAGTGATTGATTGTAGAGAATCAGAGGCAACTTTTGCCCTCAAAGCCTGTGCTCTAAAAGCTTACGTTTGTTTGCGGGGAGAGGGAGACAGTTTGAGTGCATAAGGAAGAAGCTAGAGAATGTTAAATTTTGTGAGTTTCTTGAAGCCAAAGAGAGAAAGAAAAACCAATATGCTCTATTGAATCTTTGTAACAGCCCCGGGAGTAGGTGTGATGAGGCCTGTTACAGTGGAGGAAGCAGTCAGCAGATGCTGGGTCAATGCAGAAGGCTGTGCAGCTGGCTGGGACTTGAGAGGCCATCTGGTGCCGGGTCCCCCTTGCCACCACGGGACTTGGCAGAACCCTTCAGTGGGGGAACTGCTTCCTGTATCAGGACTCCCCCCAACCTTGTCCCCCCAATTCACTTTTGTAACATTAGACTATACCACTGTAGGAGACACAGAGAGGTAGGAAAAAGACATTGTGAAGCTGTCATACCCAACAACTGTGATTATTTTAGCTGAGCTGCCATTTCATTCCGGAAGAGCTCTTAATGAAGGGGCAGGATGACATAGACCCTGACGGCCCAGACTCCACGATCAGTCTGCCTAGATTTGCATCCCGGGGGCTCCATTTATTATTTGTGTAAACTGGGGAAAGGACTTTAGTTTTCCATAAGAATCATCCTTACCTCCCAGGGTTGGTAGAGGAGTGAATGAGCTTGTACTATCATTGTACCAGAAGAAAGTTCCTTACTGTAATAAGCCCTCCCTGGCGTTTGTCCCCAGAAGCCTGTTGCATACTGAGTTTACACCTCCCTCTTCCGGGGCATTCCCATCCACTGAGGTCAGCCCTCATTTCCCCCTAAACTTCTGGCTGTGCTTTTCTGACAGGGCCATTGTGTGGTGGTCAGCCAGGCTTTTCCATAGGAGTCCGTTGCTGGGCCTGCCAGGCAGTGGACTTGTGTTATCTTTTTTTTTTTTTTTTTTTTTTTTTTTTTTTTTTTTTTTTTTTTTTGGTTTTTCTCCGGTACCGGGAACCTAACTCACGACCTTGCGCTTGCCAGGCAGGCGCTTTGCCGCTGAGCTAAATCCCCAGCCCCTTGGACTTGTGTTATCTGAGGGTGCTATTACTTACTATCTGCCTGCCAGGCGCTGTGACTTGTTCTTCTTGGCATGGGAATGGATCAGCCCTCTCACCTAGACTCATTGATGACCAGCTGTGCGTCTTTTCTAGGCCAGGACTGAGTGAGAACCAAGTTTGTGACCATGGAACAAACCTTCTCTTAGTGCGGAGGGTGGCTGGTCTATTCTGGGAGTGTTCCCAGTATGTCAGCCTGGGATATTGTGAAATATATATTTGGTTTTGTCCTGTTTCCTGGCATTCAACTCCTGAAATCCTTGGAATCTTCAAAGT